AACCGAGAAGCGTGGCGTGGGCCCGGCGTGCCGCTTCGAGACGGACAATAACGAAAGCCCGGCTTATGGAGGCATGCTGTGAACGGGCCTCCACCGCATTGTTGCCATAGTTCGACCCGGGACCGCTTTTGCATTGCACAATCGTAAAAGGGCCCAAGTCAAGGCACTTCGATGGCCCTCAACCGCAAACTGTACATCTGTGGCCAGGGGTTCCGGGGCCAAAGCTGCACTTTGAACCAGGTCAAATGGTCGTTGCCGTTCTTTGCTGATCTGCGAATCATATCATATCAATGTGAGCACACGGAGATTGAGGCGAACATGTTGGAGAAACGCACTTGTGACTTGCCCCGGACGAGAACAAACACCTCGATCCATTGGGTCCCGAAGAACGCTGGCGACACGCTTGCGTATGGAGAGGGTTCGGAGGGGAGATTCATGAATCATGAGTGGGTGGAGCAGAACTGTGATAGACTTTTACCGCCCGACCCGAGCTCCCGCCCTGGCGCGTATCCAGGAACATTCTGCTTGGGCGGACGATCCTTGGACGATCCAAAAATTTGGTGACCTAGAAGTTACAGGTCGTCGGTCGACGTCGAGACGTGGTGAGCGGCAAGCTCGTCGCGATACCCGTGGATCTGCCGGCTCTTCACGTACATCCGACCCGCCAGCCGAAGGCGGAATTCCGAGTTGAAGCTGGGTGCTGGATGGGACGTCGCAACGACTTGATCGAGCACGTCGCTGGCCTCGCGTGGTGGGCATCAAGAGGAGTAATCGGAGAGCAGTACGAATGCGACATGGATTGTATTCATTGCTGTGGTGTGCATGGGGAGGTGATTCAGGTGAACGACTAAGAATACACAAAAAACAAGCGTATTGCATCCTCCGTGGACATCTCTCGCGCGACAGTACCGCGATGGGACCGTGTGGGTTGAAATATACGCGGGAGGTCAAAATTGGAAGGAGGTGGATGCGTTGGAAAACGAAAAAAAACTTGGAAGAAATCGGTGATAAGAGGGTGAGAGAATCAGAGAGATACGGTGAGGAATCAACGTTCATCGCCATTATGGTCCCGTCCGAGTCGTCGTCTTGCCGTGGTCGAAGGAGGCGCGTCGATAACGCAACAGCGACGTACCGTGTGTTCTTCACGCCCATAAGCCTAGTATTACAGGCCGCGTACCCAGGCGGCGATGGTCGTAAGATGGATATGGGGAGCAAAAGAGCGAGCCACGCACTAAGTTCGACACCTGGGGGTTCCGATCTTTTCCCGTTCAGACATCGATCCATCATGTCGATATAAATCTTGAATTCGTTTGGGCCCAGGGCGATGCGTTGGCGAAGTAAGCAGACGTCGGGGCCCACTCGGGGGAGGATGGTGGCAAACGATGAGAGAGGGTTTCCCACGGCAATTCGCTTTCCGAACAACTCAACAAGTTGTGCTTTCTTCAAGCTTCAACTCTCTGGTAGGTGGCAAGGAGGGGGGAGCTAGGACGATACGCCTGGACCAATACTGACGTTCTGTCAGGCAGACACAACCATCGGAATATCATGGCATGGTGGGAGATAACGTAGGGATCTAGTAGTTGAGTACTAAGGCTCGAGACCTGATACGATTCCGAGTCATTGGGTAAGAGTTTTGTATACAGCACTTTTGCCTACAACTGGAAGCGCGAAGGAGGGCCTTCAAGAAGAATCGAGGGCACTCGCCGTGAAATATAGAGGAGGTGCAAGTCCCTGAGGCGAGTCACCGCCGTGTCGTCGCTTACGCTTTCCGCAAAGCTTTTCATGGACGTCCTCAAGGATCGATAGGAAGGGGTACTGACACCGTCTGTCAGGATCATCGAATTCAGGTCGCTTTCTTCGATATCGTACACAAGGTATGGCGAACACAAAAAAAATTAAGGCAATTAGAACGTACACGACTTTCGGATATCGAGGTCACTACTACTGTGGTTTGTGAGTTTCAAAGACGTCCTAGAACTCATCCTGATTCCTATGGAATCCTACCTCACCAGGTTCATCCTCTCAAGTCCGCGTCACATGCGCGTTATTGACTGACGAGTCTCTGAAAGCGGGCTAGGGGGACGGTGAAACATGTGTCATACCACTTCCAGTCTACGACTTGATACCATCGAACCGTGCCCTTGGTGCTCATGGCGTTCGAAGTTGCGGTGACGGACATGCTAGCCTGTCCGGTAGACTGATACCGTACGCTGCTATCACTTGCTGATATCGTTAGCGCTAAATTTGTGCCGGGATCAGAGACAAAACGCACCACCATTACAAGCAGAGGAACACGCCACATTGTCGAACTTGCCTAATGGAGTGGAAGTGTACACGCCAATCAGATATGGGATGGCCAAGGGGGGCGCGTACCAAAGCCGACCGCCATCGACCGCCGGTCGGTGCTTTACCCTTGAACATCATGGTTTAATGACGAGTTCGCCTTGGATTGGGATGGTCATTGTGGTCAATGGCGATAAAAATCAGGGAGCGTTTTACCGCGGCGACTTCGATGGGCAGATCGTTCACATTTGTTTCGATTGCGAACAGGATCGAATTACTTCTGGAACCTACCTCTGGCCTTGCCCTGAGAGTAGGCTAGCCAGTTCACCCCACCACTTCGATATATCGTGTTCCGACTCCGCCGTCGCTCACTCGTATACCTTCACCCAGAGGATAGAAAAGTACGCTAGTGAGAATTCTCTGGGGTCGTTCTTGACAAAATCTTCGGGAGAACGACATAAGTATGTGTACGCCCAACGTACGCCTGCCAGCAATGCGCTGCTTACCGGTAAAGGTTCCAGGACAGCCAGCTTGCGAGTATGCGTTGCTTCCGGCCCAGTCTCCGCCTGTATATTCAGACTATCGGTCAATTACACACTGCAGGAAACGGGTTGAAAAAGGCATACAGAAAGTGAGATTGATCACGATATTCTGGTCGGTGAAATGAGAATCGATGTCGCAGCTCGAGTCTGGGAAGAGCGCGTCCGGTGTGCCCTGTGTAGCGCCGTAAGTAGACGTTTTTCTGCTCCCGTAAAAAACGGAACTCACCCAGGATCTCGTGTCAATATCATCATCTCCGTCCAGGACATCCTTCGGCGTCCGCTTGTCGCCTCGTTTCCAGAACCAAACCCGAATCCCATTTTCAGCGCGTTCCATGGCGTAGAAACCACCTTGGTTCGAATTGAAGTCCTGCCCGAAGCTAGAGTCCGATTTGAGGGTAACTCCGCACCCGGTATTGGAGCCCCGTCCACTGGAGCATTCCGTGGACTTGACGGTCCTAGGCGTATGGAAGAGAGCTGCGTTAGCAGAATCTGGTGCTGAAGGAGGAGGAGGTCGCACCCCGTCATTTTGCGCGAGTGTGGGACGGAGCAGCCGGAGCTTGTGTGAAGAGTCACGGCGTTCGGGCCTGCGGCGTCTAGGTTAGGATAGGAAGAGAAAATCAACAAGGAATGGGCACATACCCTGTTGATGACGTTGATGGTTATTGCGAATGGGCGAGGGTGAATGTGAGAACATACCTGCCCGTTTACGCCTGCAAAGCGAACCACACATTAACCCTCGTAGCAGAGGGAGAGGAATGGTAACGTGCCTTCCAAAATGTCGATCTCGCCGCCCGTCGGCCAGTTCGGACCAACTTCCCAGATAGCGGGCCATGTTCTACACTGACGGTCTGCCTCGGAGACATAGTACCACCAAGGGGAAACACGCACCCGCATCCCTTGGGCATATGTACGACATTGTATCTGAGTATACACGGCGTGGTTAGAAGGATCCTCCGTCGACGATTCACCCCAACAGTACTCACATAGAGACATGTCTTCCGTACGTCTTTTTCGACTCGATTCGAACAGAATCGCGGCCCCGAGCCCCGGAGCGCGGGACACTCTGGTCGTCTGCGCGGAGAGTAAAGTTGGTTCCCGAGACCTGAACTAGGCCCTCCTTCTGTGCGGTACTTCGGTCAACATAATTCCTGTACGAAAACGGGCGTCATTGGACACAAGAAGAGATAGAGATCGTTCAGAAAAGACAGTGACATACACGTATCCGTGTGTGGGGTCATCAAAGGTCTTGAAATTGAACTGTTCGAGGAAAGCTGAACCTTGATAGCTATCTGTAATCTGGTATGTCGCAGCAAGGGCATGACGGAAAGAAAGGAAAAAAAGGGGGAGTGCGACTATGGAAGAGCGCATGATCGAATGATGAATGGATAAAAGTAAGAAGGACAGGAATAGTAGAAGGAGGAGGAAATAAAATGTGGGGTGAATATAAAAAGATAGGGGGAAAGGCAACGGGCCTGCAGACGAAGAGAAAAGAATGACGGCACGGCGACTCTGCATGCGGAAATTTATAGGAGGGCACCGAGCGAGATCGGGTATGTCGGTAATGCCCTCACTTCGTTCATCTGTGCGATAAGTACTGGCGCTGTCTTTGTTCAGGGAAATTCAGGGGAGTTCTGACCATCATCCACCTCACCATCGCGAGCTCGACCGCCAGACCCGAATCCGATGAGATGGTCCAGAGTGCACTTTGATATCTCCAGTCCGGGGAGAACACTTCAAACGAATTCGTGCCACGAAGGCACGATGAGAGCTCTACTCGAGTACGGCATGTCTAAGGACCTTACCTCGAAAAGGCGTAGAGGAAAACTCGCCTTCAGGGCCAGCCTCTGGCCCTGTCAACCGAGTACCACGGCCCACGTCAACCTTCTTCCTATTTCTTCCCCACGGCGAGATTCTTCCTGATTCATCACGGGCGCATAGAGCCGTGTCAGACGGCTTGTACATCAGTTCCACATGGAGTGGTATTGCGAGGCTGAGAGCAGTTCGAGCAGGTTAGCTCTCCGAAGCAACTTGGGGCTTTGATATCTGGTGTTGGACAGTCGGGGACTCGGGAGTCGAGACTCGGAGACGACTTGACGTCGGACGACGGCGGCTGTCGGACCGCCGGCCGACCGTCGGGTAATAAGAGCAAAGAAAAACTTGCAAAACAAACACACATGCCAGGACCGTAGATTGAACACGGGACCTCCAGAAGACCCTAAGCTTCAAGGCTTCAGTCTGTTGCTCTCCCAGCTGAGCTATCCCGGCGGTACTACACGGAGATCAATTGCACCCTGCAATTAGGATAGCGTCAACTCTGATGATGAGAACAATGTAAGTGCAGAATATCCGTATTCCCCGGAGCAACAACACGATCATGCCAGCCTGCTCCTCAGCCAGGTCAGAAGCCCCTTCGTTCCCTCCCGCTCCCATACCCTCCGCGCCGGGACTCGGAATCTACGTTAGAATACGTCAGCATACGGCGCACTCGTCTAAGGAATGGGTGGACGTACACATTCCCCTCCACAAGAAACACGTCAAGCGGGAGTAATCCGAGCTCCCCACCTAAGGATTCAATCGAGTTCTCCCTAACATCCAGCTCCTCCAGCGTCCAGCTCTTCCTGCCCTCGTCGGCACCCTCACCCATAAAGAGCGTGCGCGCCAGCATCTGCAGCCCGCCGAGATTCTCGAGCCGGTTGCCCCGCAAACGCAGGTGCCGAAGTCCCGCACGCCCCGGTCCCGAAAGAACGAGCGAGGAGAGTGTGGCGGAGGACGTGGCGGCCGAGGTCAAGTTGTTGTAAGACAGGTCGAGCACCTTGAGGCTCGGGAAAAGCTTTGAGAGCGTTGAGAGCGTGTCGGCGCGGGCTCTGTCCTCGCCGCGCGTGGTTGAAACTTCGTCCGCCAGCGCGCAGCCCTCCAACGTAAGTTCCTCTAGTCGAGGAAGGTAGGGCCCGTCGGCGTCGGGGAGGGAGAACGATGGGTCGGCACGCCGGCCCTTGAGCTCGAGGATGCGGAGTGTGTCCGCGAATGGCTGTGAAACAAGGAGGGGGAGAGGAAGCGTTGCCGTTGGAAGGGTAAGGTCCGTGCTTGCGCCATACGACCGGTCTGTTACCAGGGAAAAATTGCGGTTGTGGTTGCGTGGCGGTGGGGCGAGCGGGGGGAGGGTCACCGTGAGCAGCCGCTGGTCCCAATATTTGTTGCTGAGAACGACGGGACCATTGGACTCGGGCTGAGGGTCGTTCTCAGCCGCCGATGCCTTTTGCAGGGCCGCGAGCGCGCGAGCTCGTCGTCGTCCGCCTTCAGTGAGAAGGCCCTGCTCCGCCTCGATTTCCCACTGCTCTTTCAAGGCCGCTTGAGGGGCTGGCGGTGCTTTGGCGGGAGCTCGCGTGGGTTTGGCCGTTGAGGTGGGCGCGGGCACAGGCGGAGAAGAGGACGAGGACGCCGCTGCTTGGGCACTCTCTCGAAGATTTCCGGCGCTCCGCATTTGGCGCAGCTTGGCGCGACGGTCAGCCTCGATTTCCCAGGCTTCACGGACGACTTTCTTCCCGATGATCACCCGGAGAAGAGCGCGCCTCTCATCCTCTGAGGTGGTTTGGGTCGTTGACGCCGGGGCGGGGTTACCGATGGCCAGCTCTGCGGGGACCCGGGAGAGAGCCTCCGTGACGGCCTCCTGAGTAGCTTGGGTTTCTTCCAGGTCGATAAAGGTGAGTTTGGGGAAAGGCGTGGTGACGGAAGCGAGAAGGTCTGGAGGGAAGGAGGTATCGGTAAGTGTCGCACGGCCCATGTAGATTTCTTGCAGGTGGGAGAGGCTGGCAAGTGCGGAAAGGAAGGGGGCTGCAGACCCTAGGGGATTTGCCGCCAAATCGACCTTGACCAGACCTTGTGGAAGTGCTGAGGCGTCGATGCTCTCGGCGACGATCTTGTTGTGCGCCGCGTTGAGGGATACTAGCTTGGGCAACGGCGTATCTGCGCGGACGACGGCAGGCGAGAAATAGTCGCCCTTCTTCGCATAAGCATTCAGAGGTCCACCGGCAAAGGGCGCGTTGAAAGGGAGGGAGGTGAAGGCGTTATTGGATATATTGAGATTGACGAGGGAGGGAAGTGAGAAGAATTTTCCCGGGAGGGTCGATAGAGAGTTTTGGGAGAGGTCGAGCGTGACTAGAGATGGCAGGTCGGCGAAAGTCTCAGGAAGAGAGGCAAGTCGGTTATTGTGAAGCTATGGATACTGTTAGGATGCTGTGGAGGGCAGATAGACGAAATGACGTACGTCGATCGTTTTCAGCGAGCCAAAGAGCGAGATTTCGGGCTGGATCTCGATGATCTCGTTGTTCCACGCCTTGAGCATTTCGAGATCGTGCTGGTCGAACCACGACGGAGCGTTGCCGGTGGCGCCTTTTTGTTTGGGGTTTTCAGGAAGGGGTGGCTCATCCGGAACGCTTTCAAGCTTTTGGGGAGTTATACCGAGATGGATCTCGAAAAGGGCGGATGGTATGCAAGGGAGGGAGCGAGTCGATAAGTTGATAGAACCTTTCATAGGGGTCCTTGTCGCGTCAGCGACCTCCGATGCAGAGTGAACGAGAAATGGCGCATACCTGAGTTTCGCGCACGCTCGATGGTCTCTCGCAAAGGCCACCGACCAACGTCCGACCCGTCATCAACCGCTTTCGCGTCAAACTCCGCAGGAGAGGCCTCCTCCATGCCGGACCATTGATCTCCAGCGGGTGGTTTCTGGGTCATCGCCTTCTTCGCTTCTGCGCGTTTGAGAGCGATCGCCTCCTTGATGCTCAGCGAGGGTACTTTCGGCGGCGGTTCGTCGACCGCGTGCTTCTGCGGGGGTTTGGGCATCGACTTTGTGCGTAAGCGAGGCCCGCGGGTGGGGGATGGAGATGGCGATTCTTGAGTGTTCGACGGAGATGGAGAACGCAAGCGCGACGAGGAAGGACTCGGCACGGCGAGACGAGATTTGGCTGGGTTGGCGAGGCGAGGATTAGATAGCGTGCCCGCACTGCCGGTTGTGCGGGGTGTCGCAGTGGCAGCCTTTGGTTTTGTGGGAGTCCGAGATGATGTTTGGGGTATACGTGACATTTTGAAGAGGTATATAGCAGGGGCTCGAGACAAGAACCCAGAGCAAGTACGGGGAGGAGGGCTGAAGCGCTGAAGTAGTCTACCTTTACTCGCGGATAGCCTTGTCGAGTTCGGTCAGCCGGTGGTCGGCATATCATGTGACGTCTCTTTTCGAACACCGACCGCCCTACAGCGCCTCCGGCCAGCGGCGTACATACACGCCTCTGCTAGTGCTACACCAATGCTACACCTTCTCTCCGCCTTGCAAGTCGACACCGTTCTACTTGCAAATATGAAGCGGTTCCCTCAACTCCCACAGCCGAGCCATCGACGAAGAACACTCGTCGAAGGCTTAAGCTGTGGCACCCGCATATCATCACAGCGTCACGTGCGCCACTATATTTCTCGTTGCCAACACCTTCCCTCTTTCCTTCCCTCCCCATCCGTTCTCCTCCCCGTTCTCCCACTCCGATGGCTCAGGTATGCGTATCCCCCTGCTTGATGCGCCAACAGACGCTGACGGGCATCGCGAACAGTGGCAAAGAGGGTCGTACGAGCTCCTCGGCGGTGCGCGCACGCATATTCCCAGCAGAGGTCCATGCTTCTGGACCGCCCTCATCTTCGCCTCCGCCGCGCT